TAACTTCAAACAGGAATAAAGTGAAAAAAGTAATACTTATTAATAGATATTTTATTTTTTATTATAATTAATAACTCAATTAATAAATCAAAAAAGTAAGTTGTTGATAGCTTTGAGATAACATTTTAACTATATATATTTGTTATGCAAAAAAATTGTCTGCTATTTTCGGAATGGATGAAATGAGTCTAAAAAATGTTTGGTACTCTTGAGCTGAATCCTAAAACTTTAGACTCATTAATTTATTTTCATAATAGAAAAAAATCATATTTAGAAAAAAAAAGTAAATAAACCCAAAAATCATCATCATTATTAAATTCTTTCGGCATATACAGTTATTGGTTGAGCCTTCATCCCATGATTCATGTTAATCCTTCTCATCCAATGCTAAGAACAACATATCGGTCACTACTGATGAATGATTATGACATATACCTATAATAATAGTTTTTTTTTATGGCCAATTGATTTAAAAATAGAACCCCATGTGTTGTTTGTGTTAAGAGGGGTTGCATATTTGCATTGATTATTAATACTAATACTAACCATGATTCTTGTTGTTGTGCCTTGGTGAATATATATATATATATATATATATATATATATATATATATATATATATAGGTATTATCTTTTGACACCAGTGTCAAATTTAAAGTTTGACACCTCATCTGAGAGCCGTTAGATCAAAAAATATCAATGGTGTCACATGTTTACAAATCAGAGTCGTTTATCTTTTTTGATCTAACGGCTCTTAGATGAGGTGTCAAACTTTAAATTTGACACCGGTGTCAAAGGATCCTGCCTCATATATATATATATATATATATATATATATATATATATATATATATATATTTAAGAACTGTACCTTGGTTATAGTCCAAAGTAGAACCATTGTAGTTGCAAGAATCCCAGTACTCCCCAACAAAGAACAATGCCTTGTTCTTTCAATATATTCTTTCACATATGAAGTAAAGACCTGCAATGAATTTCAAGTTCTAGTAAAAAAATTAGAAAAGCTTCTCATGCACCTAATATCAATACACAGACGATGAAAGTCCTCATTTTTGAAGTTTCCAAAATAGAATATCAATAAAAAAATTAGAATTCAACACAACAATTTGCTTACCACAGAGTCTACGACAAGCATTCTAGTTTCACCAACTGGAGAAGCATGTTGTACTATCTACATAATTTAAAACCATGTAAATAATCCAAGTCATATTTAAAGAAAACTGCAATTAAATCAAGATAAGATTTAACAACAACCTGCTCTGTCTCACTTTTGAGGCCAAGCCGACGAGTCTCATCAAATTCTTCATGGAGAAATGTCACTCGTATCATATTTTACAAAAAGCATAAATAAAATAAGATTCCTTCATGTGCAAAGGACGCATCTATTTACAGAACCATGAGGAAAAAGTTCTCTACAATCATCTCATCCAATATGAAAAGAGAAAAAATGAGCAGACAAGCAAATTAAAGAAGCAAGGAATAAAATATATCTAGAAATTACAAAATGATAAGTGAGAAACTTCTACGATCATCTCAGCCAATATTGAAAACACATTTGTAATAAGCAGACAAATAAAAAAAAAGATGTGAGGAATAAAAGTTCACTTAAAAGTAATAATTATAATAGATAAGTAAGGGTGAAAGTGGGCTGGGCTGGGTCAAGATTTGTCCCGAAAAGCCCAAGCCTAGGCTAAAAAAATTTAATTTGGCCTGGCTTAAGCCTAGTATAAGTCTAACTGTTAGCCTGACTTGACTCGTTTATAAAAAAACAAATGGCCTGGCCTAGCCCGTTAGCCTATTAATTTTTAACTTCCAAGCAGATCCATGAATCAACTTTACAAAATACTCAAATTCTGTTGCTAAACCAAAAATCATAATTTCAACGTCCAAACAGAATCATGAATCACAACAAAACTCATACAATCTGCATTTAAGTCACTTTCAAAAGAAAATGTTCCAATTAAATAACATATATTTCATCAGATCCAACAAACAAATCCATACTATGTAAATTAAAATAACTACATTAATTCAACAAACACATCATGATGCTTGTAGTAAGTATATAACCTCTCCCAAAAACCTTTTAATATATTCATATACTCAATCTAACATGCTGAGATCTTGGTTCCTTCTACATAAGAAATAAAGTTAGATTTCTATTAAAATATAATCGAATATAATTAAGTTATAAATAATTGCAATTGATTAAATTTATATCTTTTGTTTTTTCTTCAAGGCATACTTATTCTATTTTATTTGATTTAAAATAAATAATGCAATATAAGCCGGCCTGTAAGTTTATAGGTCAGGCCTTGTGAAAGTGGACCTACGGCCTATTTATTAAACAAGCTTTTTCAAGGCCCAAGATTGGCCTATTTTACGAAATATACTAGGTCAGGTCTGGCTTGACGTAGGCCGAGACGTAGGCCCCTGTAGGCCGGCTCGGCCCAATTTCACCCCTGTAGATAAGTGTGTACATTCATCTTGTGATCTATTATGGAGAACATATCCATAAAGTCACATAGAAACAATAAGTGCATTGAAAGAAATTTAGCAATGGAGACATTTCATACAAAGAAAATGGATAAGTCTAGATAGGTACCAAACTAACTCCTGTAAAAATAGTCTTTCTCATAAGTTAGTTTGGAGACAACAATGAAGAATATTTATTCTTTAATAATTACCTAATTACTAATAAGCATCGAGAGAGACATCATAACCAGATTTGAGAAAAAAATGAAATCTTCCATAAGAAGCAAATTTAACATAAAATAAATCTTCCACTAAAATATTACAAAAAAATTGGTATTGAAATATAATCTTAATCTCAGTTTGCAAAATCACATAAACATCAGAATATACTTTAGAACCTGCAAAACACTAAGAACATGTTAAAAATTCCAAAAAAAAAAAAACACAAAATACAAGGTATAAAATACATAATAATTCCAAAATGAAAATAATAGGAAACTAAATTACCTTGATGGCAAGAAGTCCTAGTATGAAAGTGGTCCCTTTCTCAATCTTGTGCTCAAATGACAATGTCTTCTCACATTATCAATCAAAAGTGGGTGTCGCTTGAAGATGCTATTCAGAGCAAAAATGCCCCTCTTTCAACAATTATGATTATTTCCTATGCAAACACAAACACCAATTGATTTATTCATGAGGACATCTACCTGATAGTTACACAAGAGAAGATACAGCTATCACAATCTGAACGAATGCAGCAACATGCAGTGAGATTAAAGGCATCGTTTACCGTTCTTCGCTAGACAACGAGCGCGTGATTAGCGTGCTTGACCGTTGCTCGATCAACTTCGTTCCACTTGGATGCTCACTTAGTTGGTGGCGTCGGCGAGCAATGATCCATGAACGAGAAGAACAACGAGTGGAAAAGGAGAAGGTTCTTGATGGTGTGTTTGCTTTCACCAAGAGAAATGTGTGTGTGTGTGAGAGAGAGAAAGTAGTTTTGAGATATTAAAGGAATTAATTGAAAAATAAAAAGGAGTGAAATCAAAACGTAATATAGTTGAAATTAAAAAAATGAAGCAATAATCAAATTGTAATCTCAATACAAACATGGAGCAGGTGCATAGAACCAAAGAGTTGATAGGATTTTACAAAAAAAAAAAAAGTTGTTAGGAGGTTGTGTGAAAAGCTCATAAGAGAGATAGTTGAGGAGAAAATAAAGAGTTGATGGGGGTATTTTTTAACTGACGTAATAGCACCGCCATCATATTTCGTTTTTCTTGTAGTGGCTAGCCTAGTGGTGAGAGAGGTGGGTAGTGGGTAGTGGGTAGTGATTAGTAAGTGTTGTATTCGATTCCCAATATATTAAAAAAAAAAAGAGACAAAAATAATTTGTTACAATTAGAGACGGAAAAATTTCATCACGAACAGAGATGGAATAAATCCATCATTAACATAGACAAACAAAATTCATGGACAACTTAATTGCTAATTGAGATCGACATCTTAATTGCTAATTGAGATGGATCATGCAGATTTGCTCCTATGAGTAAATTAGAGACTGAAAAAATATTAAAGACAAATAAACTGGTCCCTGATAGGAAAGGAAATGTTTCCGTCCCAAATAGTGATAAAATATTTATAGATGGATATGTTTTGTCCCAAAATTCTGTCCTTGATAGGGATAAATTCATGGTTCCGTCACTTATAAGGGAGGAAGTATTTAGTGATGGATTTTTACGGGTCACTCATTCCATCTCTAATTTATTTTGTTTTATATATCAATGCAAGTGAAATATTATAATAATTAGATAAATAATAATATTTTATTATGCCTATAATGACTCAAGTTGAATTATGAGATATTAATATTTTACATTTAATTTAGGATTTGTGTTTTTATTTTAATATTGTTAAATTATATTAATTTTATATGCTATTTCTTAGTTGTTTCTTTTCTTATAATTTTTAAATTTTGTCATATCCAATGAGTATTCGTGTCCTGTATTTATATTAGAGCTTCCTAATTTTATTTTATTTAGAATAAAAATATAAAATACGTTAATGAGTATTGCTTAAAGAAATTTATAAAAAAAAAAAATTATTGCTTAAAGAATAAACATGAATTTTATTAAGTAAAAAAAGGAACACTTTTTTACTAGGATTATAAATTCTGCACTTTTAATTTTTATATAAATTCTGTACTTTAGGTGGGATTTTACAACCCGCTTTACAATTGCCCAAATTATAGCCTATAGGCTTCTCTCTCCCTTCAGTTTAGATAGAATCTCAATAAAATGAAACTGGGAGCATTCCATAACTTATTATTGAAGCGACAATATCCATAAAATAATGTTTAATTCCTTCTTCGTGAGATAATGAACAATATCATATAACAATTCTTCACGGAAAGTGATTCAGTGGTCTAAGTTAAAGCGATATTTAAATGAATTAAATTATGATTATACAATATGCACAATAGATTTAGAAACGGTGGTAAATGCTCATTAATGGGTTATTTGACATGAGTGTGCAATGGGAACTTGTGGATCTGAAAATGAACCATTGAGTATTCGAGTGGCAATCCAGCGATTTGCGGCCTCAGTGTAGTGCACACCATCCCAACTAATGTACTTCGATGGATCTTCACATGAACCAGCAAATATTTCTTTACCATTAATCATTGCTTTGTTCCCACAGTACACGTGGTAACCATCCTCATGATACCCACAACAGATATTTGAAGGGTCAACGAATCCTACAAATGAATTTAACAATTAAGAGGATGACTTATTGAATGGAATTTCCTTTGTAGAGTAAAAATTGGTAAATTCATTTCGGATGGTGACAAAGAGGATTACCTTCTTTATTAGCATTGCTGATTAGTTCATACTTAGCAGAGAACATGTCCACATATGTTAATGAAGCATCAGGGAACATTGCCCTTAGTTTGACCACTATATTCTTGAGCTCTTTATTAAACTCTTTGGCCATGTCGTTTTGATAATTGACACAGCCGTTTTGATCTAGATAACCAGCCACTGGAGTATAATTATTTGCATTGTGCATGGGCATGGCCACTGGCAAGCAACCAATGGGACCTGTGTTATGTATCCAAAATGTCCTTGCTCCAAGTCCATATAAATTCTGACAAAAAAGTGTTCTTAAATTAGTACTTTCCATATTAAATTATTAAAATGAACACAACTCTTCTAGATTGAATCGCTTACTTGAACTTGGTTTGAAAAATATTCCACAATGTCTAAGATCACTGCTTGAGAATCTTCCCCTCCTACGTTTTGAAGAGCAGCAGCAATATCATTTTGCCCAATATCAATTGTGTAGATAGCATTGGCAAACTCCTCTGGCCTCGGAAAGTGTTTTCTGTATGAATTATTCTTTGCTGCAAATAACATATACATAATTAAGTGACTATAAATTCAACTTATTAAATTGGAGGCTAAGATATATTATGTACATCCCGGAAAAACCTTGCGTGAAGAACTTCCCAGTGCGTGCTTTAAACTGGTTAAACTGTTCAATTTGGATTTCAAGAACGAAAGGACTACCGCCATCAAAGAAGGTTTTGTTTTGCCGCCTAATGGTTGACGATCCTGCAGCGAAGTTTGCACCGTGCCTATAACTTGTTCCAATTGAGTTTATGTATGCACTCAAGTATGGGAAACCGAGGTGCTTGGCTGCGTATATAAACAACTGCCAATCATTATTTTGAATATGATTTCGGAAATAAAGGTATATATGTCTATATTTAAATCCCAGCTTTACTCATGATGTGGGTCAAGTCAAATACTGGATTGAATCTAATCTTTACCAAACACAACTCATAAAGAAAAGAAGATGATCAGGTTCTCTTTCGTGACACAATATAATAATAAAAAAACAAATAAAGACCTAATGAGTGTAATTCTGTTAGTAAGACAGTCTGAGTAGGTTGGAAGAGAACCTAGGTTCGATTTCCGTCAAATATATCTTTGGAGAGGGGTGTAAATCATTAATTGTGACTAAGTCCCAACACTCGTTTTGATTTCAAAAAATTGAAGTTTGTGGGATATTATGGCTGACATACCTCAAAAAGATAATTTATGTGATATATGAAAAAAAAAATAGTCAATTGTTAATACACATTGAAAGATCCCAAATAAGAAGCATATCTTCAACATTGTTGGAGTATGTACTCCTTTATTAAAATTAGAAAAAAATAAGACTGGGTGTCATTAACTATAAAGGGGTGGGAGAAAATAAAATAAAATTAGTTGTGTTGTTTTTTTCCTAATTATAGTAAAGATACACTTAAGTCTTCACTCTTCAGTACTACGATAAGATATTTTCCAAGAATGGGTTAAGCAAGAAATTTAAATTTCAATAAGTGGGCCCAACATCAAATTTTAACTCAAAGCTTTAAAGAAATTAAGTTTACAGTCATCTTACTTATATTTTTTTTTACATAATCCATTTATAACTGAAATAACACTTTATTATTCATCACTCAAACTTGCATTCAAAAATGGCAAAATCAATAAATTGAGAAATGAGTAGATGAATTTTTTACCAACGAAATCTATAATAAGACGGCCATCAGAAGCTCTGCCTGCAGGCTCATGGAAGAAAGTCTCACCAGAAGGAGAAGCCATAGGGTAAAATGCTGCTGCCATGCAGCCAGTATCTGAATTGGAATCACCAAAGTTGAATATAGCTGGAAAATCACAAGCTGTTGAGGATTTGAGTTCCTCAGCTCGGATACTCACAACCAAAGTGAGTAAGATAACAACAACAAACTTTGTGAGAGGCCCCATTATCATTGCACAAAATCGCACCTCTGTCAATACTATTCAGCAAGAGGTTTATTGTGTTTTGGATCCTTTTAGGTTTTAACTATAAATAGTGGATATTTGCGTGCCCAACTGCTAGAATTCACGTGCTTTACAAGCATTGGTACCTAAAATTTGAAGGTAATGAAATCTATTATGTCTGCCAATCATTCAAGTCTTAATTATGGATTGTTTGAGCCAAATTTGTTAGAGAGATATATATAATGTATAAAACTATTGAAAATCTATCAATTAAGCTTTCGATGAGATGATTGTTTATCATTATATTAAAGCCAAAATGATCTCAGAGTCACGAATTCGATTCTCATTGCTCTACTTTCTAATTAAGATCACGCTTTGGTCTCTCCTACTTTAGTATTTATTTATTTTTCCTTTTTTCTAAATTAAAATATTTATATAAATCTCTAAAAAAAATTATCCACGTATATATTATATGATAAAAATTCCACTGTAACAAGTGAGGGTTTATCCACCGCTAATGTTTAGTAGCTTAAAATCACAATGTGTTTTAATTGAAATAAGGGTTCATTTTTTCTACAGTAAGCTCAATACGACGTCATTTTGGGACGAAAATCCTAGTGTTTTTGTAATTTTAATTTATTTCAGAGTTATTATAGTCTTTATAACTATATTTTTTAATCATTCAATCCAAAAACGACGTCGTTTTAGAAATAAATGCAGATAACTTATCTGCATTAACTGCAGAAATATTTTTCGGTTGAAATAAATGTACATATTATTTAAAGTGAGTTTGTTTTTAAAATGAATAAGGATTCAACCTCTAAATTTTATTGGGTTAAGATTATTACAAACTTTAAATTAAATCAAGAATGGATACACTCTTATTACCTCACTTGAAAAACGAATTCATTTTAAAGAGGCATATGTGTTATCTTTCGGATAGGCATGAAGATTTTAATTTCGAGATTTTCGTATCAGTTGCATGTTACTGTAAATTTGAAATTGTTAGGTTTTCTCACATTAGTATTATGCTTTGTTCTCATGTTTGATTCTTGTAAATGGAAAAATAAGTTGTGAGAGGAATTTAACTCCCTAAACTCGTCCATCAACCCAACTCGTCCATCAACCTAACTCGAATTGGTCAAAATCGAGTAATATAGTTAAGAAAAATAATTTTCATAAATGTTGATTCAATATTGAATATGGGTAATGAAGATAAGAAGTATACTCTTTAATCATTAGACGATTCTTTTATTGTTAATCTCTTATATATGTGTGAATTTCAATTAAATTAAATGACATGTGAAGATTTTGTCTCTTTCTCCTTGCTTGCAAGCTTTCAATAGTTAGGATCCAATTACCATTTATGAATATTATAAAGGAAAATATACATCAAAAATTTCAACATTTTCAAACATTGGACGCTGGTGCATATATAGCCGGAGTTTGACTAACCCGACACCAACAGGTTCGTATGAAGTTCCTTTTTATTTTTAGTAATTTTCATCGTTTCGGATCGACCACGTAGAACATAAATAATGCAATTATTTACAAATTAAAAATAATGTAAAATGTTATCAAAAAAAAAAAATAATAATAATGTAAAAAATTATAATTTGAAATTGCAGGAAAACACTTTATAATATATGGCAGAATAAATATTTTTTTTATTTGTCAAGGTAATATTTCTTTTTTATAAAAATAATTATGAAACTTACATCAAATGATAATAGTTCAATTGGTATATATATAGGAGCTGAGCATCACGAGGTGAAAGCATATGTATAAGAGTTGAGCATCAGAGAATGAGAATATGTGTTCGATCCTTCTTTGTATCAATTTTGGAAGAGATTTAAAATCTCAATTCAACTCTTACCCAAATAAATTTGCCTCTCATAAAAAATATATCTCGTTATAAAAACAAAAAAGTTATGAAACTTACCCTTACATTTTTTGTCCATAGGGAGCCCAAAATGGAGGCCTTTCTTGCCTTCTAAGTCAATATAATCCCTTTGGGACCTTCCGCATATGCATGGGTCCAATTCACATGGGTGAAAAGCAACATTGAAATTATTATCCCACACCGACGTACGTATTCTGTGGTAGAAGTTGCTTCCTTGCGTGTGTGGGAATCTTGGATCTGTCTCTATCATCCTATTCTTGTTGGGTAGGTGTGGCTAAGACTTTTCTTATTAGGTTATTATCATCATCATGCGCGCACGTCTCATATATTATGCATTCTATAAGAATTTAAGCCTAGTAAAACTAAGAGCCTGTTACATGATAAAAGAAATCCAATCTATCAAAATAACAGCCACAGGCCCAATAACTCAAGGCCTATATTTACAACTGCTAGAAACTTACAAAAATTAATTATTTATTGGTAAAAACAATGCATTTAAAATTTTCTTTAATTTTTTTTTTTTTTTTTTTGGATGTCCACGCCACTGGATGGAGAAAATGTCATTCCAAAACGAAAGATCACTAAACTCATTTGTCTCCTAACAGGTGGCAGCAAAATTCCCTTCCTATCATTTTCCTTTGTTATTTTCGCAATAAACATCCTATCTTATTTTCTTGACCCCACTTAATGTGTCAAAGAAATTATCCAATTTCTTGCGGACTTTTAAAAGATAATTTTTTTTGTGTCCGAAAATCATGATTCTCGTAAATATGTTAGGAAAGTCACTTTTTTGGAAATATTATTAAAAAATTATTTGGTATGCCAAAATATTATTGAAATTTTATCTTTAAAAAAAAATATAAAATTTTCCCATATAAAATTTTCCCAACACTTGGAATTCCAAGAATATTGTTGGATGACATTTTGGAAGAAAAATTGTACATAAAATAAAATTCAGAAAAAATTATATTCATGAATTTTTTTTTCAAAAATCTTATATCTAATGTGGATAAATAAAATTACTAATATCACTTTTCTAAAAATATCAAAACAATTTCCTTACCAAACACCCCCAGGTAGTGTTTGGTTGGGGAGAAGTTAAAATTTTGCTAGCTAAATGCATGTGGGAATCTGAGTAAATCACGTTTGGTTGAAGGTTTTTGGAAAATATGCCCATCAAACCCACTTGCCCTGCAATGCAAGAAGCAGTGTAAAAATTGGACTTTGCCACTGTTGAAGAAGCCATTTCAACAGGTGGTATTGGTTTGGGATATCGGATAAGTGAAAAAGGTGGAGAATGACATGACAAATATACCCCTGTGTTTAGGGTGGTTTGTTATAGACGAAAAAAAAAACTTTGCTGAACAACCTGTGTTTCTGTTTATGTAAAGAAGATAAAGAAACAAATTTAAAGCTAACCATAACTACAATCATAATTAGTTAAAAAACAAAAAAAAATACAGCAAATTTTGCTGTCATACACGTGTGAAGCATTAGAAAGGTTAATTTCGTCTTTTGCATTCTTTTTCCCATCACAATTTTATTTTCAACCAAACACACATCATGATTTTTCAATTTTCCTAGTAATATTTTGCGCTACCAAACAACTTTTTTTAAACTTTCCTACCAAACTAACTTTCCAACGTCTTTCTTAGTAAAGACAACTACCCACTTTAAAAACATTTCTCCCCAACCAAACACTACATTAGTGACTAGTATTACTACCTTTATTCTACATCCTTATTTCAAGTGAATAGGTCTGATAAATAGGCAATAGCGAAAGATTGTAATAGTTTTTATTGACCAACCAAAGTCTGCAAAAGCAACCCAACCCAAGTTGTCATTGGAAAAACATGGGCCACAAAAAGAAAAGTAGGTATAGGCTGAGGTAGCAGAAGATGAGAGCCATGGTCACAGTGTAACACCCTGTGTGCATCCGGTGTATTAAACATATAAATGGTAGAAGCGCAGTTCAATAAATGCGGAAGCTAAATTTTTCCAATTATGAACCTTATCATATTAACCAAGTGGATATACTTATTCTTTTTCAAAATATCATCTGTATGTAAATTGCAATAAATAATTAAACTGAATAACCTCATGCCATAAGTAAGTATCACGTCATGGAACTACAACTCGTAGACCAGACAAATCCTGATATAATAGTACACCTCAAGTTTGAAATAAACATAGCTTATACCAATGTGACATGGACAACCCTCGTTCTCACAAAATAAAACAACATCGTAAGATCATGTCTCAAATACAATAGCTGTATAATATTAACCAGGCATAATCATATGAAAATATGGCAATACAAGCATGAAACACATCAGCTCAACTCCGGTCTCCTGCCACCAGAGGTCTCTACCTCAGAGGTACCTGTACCTAAAAGTGTGTCCCACACGGGGTGAGATCTCTAACAAGAAATCTCAGCAAGACAAGGGGTCCTCAAGGATCCCTCCACCCCAAGCTAACTTACATGTGCAATATAAGTTCAAAAATGATAACAATAGTATAACGGCAAAATCTGTGCAATTCAGCATATGTTCATGTCATGTGTGTATGCATCCTACTGGCCAGAGAATAAAAGGTAGTGATTACGTAAGTCTACAAAACCACAGTACAAGGAGTCCCCACTATGTACTTCACACACGGGTTTACCATCTTGCATGTGGCCTGACATGCTCAGGGATTACCGTCTCGTGTGAATACCCCACATACATATACATATGGCAAATGCACTAAAAACATAATTCAGCTCAACAACATATTCATATCCAACATTCATCATATAAAAAGATACATTTTCATAAAAATACATCTGCTGGGAGCATATCCACCCCACTAGGGTCCCCAACTGAAAGTTGGGCTACGTCGGCAGGAGACATCGTAGATCGCATGTGAAGAATCTCAATAAGAATCCAATTTTGGACGTCAGAATCTTCCACAGCTATGGTCCTAGAACACGAAGGATGAGGATCAGTATAAAAATCAGCCAAATCTGATCTCAGATTTTCGAGATCAAATGGCAACGAGCGCGGACTCCATGAAAACGGTATAGAGCTATCAGAACTACTGACTAGATCGACAAATGGCA